GAGGAAAGCAACCCGTCTGGCGATGGAGTGCTGAAGTTTGCCACGGTGCTGATCAACGAGGGAGGGGGCTACAGGGCCGACACTGGGATCTTCACTTGCCCACGGGAAGGCTGCTATCACTTCAGTATGCATCATGTGTGTATGGGATTGGACAGTGTGCTATATACAAAAATGGTCAGAAAGTGGTGTCTCTGTATAACACCACTCACCCTATGAAGTGCAGCCAGGTGGCCAGCACGAGCAGCTTGATCCAACTGACAACAAGATGTGGGTGAATCTGTGGGGGCCGGGCAGAAACGATATCTTTGTAACTGAAGATAACGAAACTGTTTTTTTTGGGTTTCGTTTGGGTTAATCGAACCATTAATAAAGTCTGGTCAGTGCAACTTCAGTCATATATCAGTGGATGAAGTGTGTAACATGAATGTTACCTTGTGCTTTCAATAAAAAATATCAATGCTTTACTAAATGTGGTTTTCATTTCATACTTAGAATATGATAATGTCACCAATTTACTCAAGTTTGGTTAAGCTTATTTGAGGTTGTTGTAGGCTACTTGTGTATTTCCATTTGATGCAACATTAAACTAGTACACCACTATGGCAGATATTGTTCTTATTAACTCCATTACAGTTGTCTGACATCATGACGTACATTGCAGGTTCAGATTATTAATAACAAATATAAATCAATATCCGAGGATGTATACCCAGCAATTTTTTCACCTTAACAACTAATACATTTAAGTTTTAAACACATGAATCAATCATAGTTATAGATTTATTGCAACCAGAATTATGGAGATAATTTAGTGTTTTTGTTTGTTTGATCAGGGACTGGTCAGCTTTTTGTCCCCAAAATCAGAACTAAACATGAAGCAGCGTTCAGTTATTATACTCCAAATATCTGGAACAAACTCCCAGAAACCTGCAGGTCCGCTGCAACTCTTATTATTTTTAAATCCAGGCTGAAAACTTTTCTTTTTGCCGCTGCTTTTAATTGATATAATATATTCATATCTTAAACTGCACTGTAACTTTTATTATCTTTGCTTTTTAATGCCATTTTCTTAATGTCTTTCATTTTTGTAAAGCACTTTGAATTGCCTTGTGTTGATTCCCCCCAAAGGTAGTTAAAGTCATTATTGGGGTTAAAGTCCCCTACATGTGCCGTTTTGATTTCAAGACCCTGGTTCGCGGAGGACACCAAAACATTTCTAGAGAAGACAACTTAAACTTAACTAATGTGCATTTAAAGAAAATAGGAATAGTTTTTGCAAAAACTAAAAAGGTACCATGGGGTACAGTAATTCGTTTTGGTTTCAAGACCCTTGTTCACGGAGGATACCAAAACAGTCCTAGAAAAGACAACTTAAACTTAACTATATGCATTTAAAAATAAAAAAGAGGAATAGTTTTGGCGAATATTAAAAGGTACCATGGGGTCAGATTATAATTTTCCAAAGGGGGGTTCGTTCAGATGTGTGTATCTCACATTGCACTGTAACTGTAATTCATGTATCTTTGCTTTTAAATTAGTGTTTTTAGATATCATTTGATAATGTGTTTCTTAAATGCTATTAATGTATTTCCTTTTTGTAAAGCACTTTGAATTGCCTTGTGTTGAAATGTGCTATACAAATAAACTTGCCTTGCCTTGATTTGCTCATTTGTACACAAGCTACCTCTCTTAGTATCTCGACAGCTTTCCACTTTCCAAAACAATAGTGCAAATATTTGATTTGATTATTTTGAATACTCTGCAAGAGTGTACTGTACGTAGTTTTTTGTTACATCCAGATTTCATGTAAATAATTTTCTATATCGTAAAATATAATTGTAATCTTAATTTCATACTTTGAAATTTTTTTATTTTATCTTCTTTAACTGTGTTTAATCCTTTTGTGGTGTTCCTATTTTTGTTACTCAGCCAGTGTTCGTGGGTCTGTTGGACCCGCTGCCTTTTTGGGCTTCAATTCAACACAATCAAACAATTTGATGTTAAAACACTCAACAGATGTTTACTTCATCCCAATTACAAGCAATATAAACAGCATATATGGTTCATATTTGCCCTTTTACGTTAGATGACATTAATGAATTAAAGTGCTACTCGTCTTTCTGCCCACTGACCGGCTGGTCCTGTGGCTCGTTCTCTCTCTATCTCTAAACCCTACCCCCACACAGTTTTAATTTTGTTATTTTTAATCCAAGAGATGCTGATTTGAACCGTTGTTACGAAACATTACGGCATTTCCTGTTTCTTCCGGAGAGAGGGGAGTTCGTCCCAAAGCTTGCTGCTGTATTTACATACGGAGTTCACTCCATCACGGAAGGGGAGTGGGCAGGGTGTGTTTTGGAATTGGGCCTTCGTTTTCTTTTTTCTGCTCCACACTCCAGTCCATTAGGTGGCGGTAATTTACCTATTCATTGGTTGTTTCTCTGATTACGTTTCACGCATGCGCAGACGGTATGTTTTCAAACGAATGCGAATAGCCTTAGCATCGTTAGTAGAAGTGAAGCAACATCACAGTTTGTCGTGTTTATCTTCAACCTAAAGTTTTCAAAATGGATATGGAAACTGGGAGCTTCGAGCCGGGGTTTGTGGGGATCCGGTTTTGTCAAGAATGGTTAGTTTGTGACTGAATAGAAGTTAGATAAGTCATACTAGCTAGCTGAAGCTAAACGCATGTTAACTCAACGGTGTCTTAATGAAAAGATAACGCTGCGTATTAATGTGTAAAATAATTAACTGACTCTGTTTTCCAGTAACAACATGTTGTACCCCAAAGAAGACAAAGAAAACCGGATCCTGCTTTACGCGGTAAGTGTCTGGTTCAGATATCAATGGTTGAGACTATCAAGTCAAATAAAGGTTTTATTGTCATATATGTACAGTAATTACAGTGAACATTTTAAGTCCGAGGCTCCTTCAAGAGTGCAGCATAAACAGAGGTGGAAGAAGTAGTCGGATCTTGTATTTAAATAAAAGTAGAAGTACCAGAGTGAATGAATACTATGTTACAAGTAAAAGTTCTGCATTCAAAATGTAACTCGAGAAGTATTGGCATCTAAATATACTTAAAGTACCAAAAGTACTCATTATGATTGGCCCATTTCAGATTCATATATGTTATATGTTGGTTATTGTTATTGATGTACTGTTGTGTTGATCAAAGCTGGTAAAGGTGGAATTAATGTCAATTACTTTATATACCGCAGGGTAGCTTGTGAATTGTTTGAAGTGTGTTAGTGTTGATCTTATTGTGTATCATTAATCTATATCTGCAAAGTAACTAAATGTACAACATACATTTAGTGGAGTAAAAGTACAATATTTACCTATGAATGGAAGTGGGGTAGAAGTACAAAGTAGCAAAAGATTGAAATACTCAAGTAAAGTATGAGTGCAACAAAGAGAGATGCAAACAGACATACAATTAAGAACTGATAAAACAAAACTGTATTAAAAAATTAGTAATAAAGGTTATATGAGAAACCCAGGAAAAAGGAAAGACCCCTCAGTGAGTGTAAACTCCAAAAAGAACGGTGCAAAGGGAAAAGATTCACATTAAAGTGTGTTAAGACATAAAAATACAAGATAAATTAGGAGATAATAAAAAATGTAATGAATGCATTAAATGTATTTCCAAAGATAATCATGAAACTGCTCTCAAACATATGTTGCAACTGTTGTGATGCTAAATTAGGCAATATGTGCACTTTCCTGTTGGATTTGATAAATGAGGCTGTAGCATTTCCACTTATTTGAAGCTTGAATGAGACGCTGAATAAGCTGTTTCTTTTCATCCATCAGTGCAGGAACTGTGACTACCAACAAGAGGCGGACAACAGCTGCATCTACGTCAACAAGATCACCCACGAGGTTGAGTAAGTAAAAGACAGTTCTTATGTCTCTGATAAATGTGTTTAAAACTTTTCTTTGTGGTGTGAATTTGCTTCCTGTTTGTTGGGCCACCGCTACATCACTTTATCAACACAAAAGGTGGTCATCGACACATCAAATTAAATGCATTACTCAGACACTTTTAGGCAGAGTAGTGCAGTGATGACATATCCACAGGCCATAAGACTGTTAAACACCTGAACTAAGAACATCCATAACATTCACCTGTTTGCAACTTACAAATTATGTATCAGTTGTATATAGACTTTTATGGCACTACTTCTATTCTATTTTATTGTATTTACTTCCACTATTTTATCTATTTATTGTGTTGCACTGTTGGAGGAGCCTGTGACCTCAGCTTCAGGTTCAGGTTCTTTATTTGTACCCGTAGGTAGATTTTGTTTGCAGAGAAAAAGACAAGGGATCCATCCTGACACACTGTAAAAACAACCGACACATCTCTAATAAAAGGACTAGCAAAAAGTACAAGTACACCCTGCTCCGTCGAATCTCAAAATATTTCAAAAACATTTAAGAAGGAAGGAAAACACTAGTTAAAACATGGACATTCAAAATTCATAATTAAATAAATAGGCATCTGTGTGACACTTCTATGATGTGTTAATTTGTGCAATAGATGCTGGGATAAAACTGTTTTTATACCGCTTTGTTCTACTCTTTGGGACCTACGATTTTCATAGACATAACTACACCATAGCTACGTACGAATGAAAATAAAAGTCTTGAATTACTGTAGTTGACCCTGAAGGCAACATCTCCCTGGCTCGCTTGGCAGAAAGCAATGGGATCTTCAATTGGATTTTGGATTATTGCAGAAAATATTGTCTGTCAAACAAATGTTTATGATACATTTTGTTCAGAAGGACGATCTCCACATGCTAACACCACTTTATGATTTTTGTATTAAAAAGCTAATGTTATGCTATAAAGGAACTACATCACGGTCACATGACTTCAC